ATCAAAGTTCAAACTTATGTCCTGAGTTTATGGTACTTCCATAGTTCCATGCATATAAGACTATCCAAAATAAAATAAAATAGATGAGAAGAGCATGGCCCTAATCATCATAACTATTAAAGAAAGATAGTACATACCCTTGAGTTGTTGAACTAGGCCCTTCAATACTTTCTCCTCATTCTTGATCTTGGACAACTCAGCCTCATCTTTGGCAAAAGCTAGCTTCCCTTGCTCAATTTCTTTTCTCCGCAATGCAACCCCCTCCTTAAATGTTGCAATCTTCTTTGTCAATTTGTCCCTAGCTGCCTTCCCAGCTTCCCAACATGTATTTTGGCACTTAACTTTACCATCATACTCATCACTTCCATCACAGCAATCTACACTAAGGCAATAAATTTCTTCATATGCTCAAAAAGGCAAAACAGAACATAACACATCATACTGAATTCAATTAACCAAGTTCTTACCACAAATGCCATCATTTACTCTCGATGAAAATAATACAACAGGGATATGCCCTGCATTCGGGCAATAGAATTTTCCATTTGGACACGCCGATGTCCCTGCAAGTTCAGCTCATGTACACATCAAATTGTATCGTTAAACATGACACGTACACCTTCACTATTAAATATACAGTTTGATCAGTCCCAACTTCCCTAGTACATTGTTCTAATCATCATATACAAGGATTAATATGATTTCTCCAAAATAACTCTTCCACCTTCCTCACCTCACTCATTTCAACTTTTCAAGTATGGGGCATCATGGAAAACCCATCTGCGACCAATTACCATTATTTCGCGAAAAGTGACAACTTTTTCCAGTCATCTTGTAAACGTTCAAAATTATTACTTCGAAAATGAATTCAATGAGGCAAATCGTACGAGCAAGGCAGCTAGCTAAAATCCCTAATCACACAATTCAATTCATAGCATAATACATAGCATAGCTCAAAAGAAAGTGCATTAAAAAGGCTTTCAACAACACATACCGGGTTCATCGGAACCATCAGTACAGTCGCAGAAATCATCATTAAGCTGACTCCGATTAATTTTCTTGGATCCATCTTTGCATTTTATGAATTCTAACGCTGTGTTGTAATACTTCCCATCTGATAAAAACCAATGATAATCTTAATAATCTTAACTACATTATCAAATATCAAAATTAAACAAAAATTGTGGAAATATGAATGGACAAACTACCTTCTGGGGAGATGCCGAGAAGAGAATTAGCGGAAACAGAATTTGATTTGACGATGGAGGGAGCTACAAAGATTAGAATCCAAATTAATTGAATCAGCTTTGAATTCATCTTCCACCGCCCCAAAATTACTGGGAAAATGAAGCTCTATTAAGAATCTAATCAAGTTTTCTTCGCAATTTCTTGTTTCGTCAGTTATATTTCTGAATGTTTGATCAAAAAATTGAAGCTAACTTTTCGGTGAAAAAATTAGGGTTTTCTGATTGGATTAATACTCAGGGCAGACTTGGATTGGGAGAGATGTATTATTAGAGTAATAAAAATCAAACTAGAGAAGTGATAGTGATGGTATGATGGTAAGAAAAATTATTTAGTGATGGTGTGGTATGAGGTGAAGAAAGAGGAACTAATATCCTCATTTTAGGGGTAATAATTACACTAGGGGGAGGGTGGGTAAGTATTACCCTCACTACGAGAGTAATAATTCCTCATCTCCCTCTTTCCTCATGGCACAATTACTTTATTTTATTAGTAAACAACATGCCTCCTACAGCAAAACCTCTAATTACTTATGTTTTTTCAAGTTTGACTTTTATTACCCTCTTAATATAGTACCCCTAATCCAAGCAAGACCTCAGTGGTAATTATTCAGCTCAAACTTCAATAAATGGGAAATTCAATATAGTTGCAGAAAATTTGACAGTAGTGAAGACAGAGAGAGGAGAAAGAAATGACTGAAATCGGTACATTTGAGCAACATGTGCAGTTCGGGAGCAAGTGAGAGTAAGCTGGAAAATTGGGGAAGCAACGTCGTTTGGAATTGTAAATTTCGAGACATTTGTTTTCAGTGTTTACCGAATCAACGGGTTTGGACTTTGGGCCGTGAAACTATTTCAGGCAAGTCCAAGGTCCCGTTCTTTTGAGCTGCTCTGCTGAAATCTGTCCTGCTTTGCCCTACCCTGCTCTGCAGTGTGTGGAAGCTCTGCCCTGCTCTGCTCTGCTGAAATCTGCTCGGCTTTGCTGAAAACTGCTCTGCTCTACTAATCCCTGCTCTGCTCTGCCCATAAGCTCAAAAGAACAGGGCCCAAGTTGGTAAGTTGTGATAATAGCGGGTTGTATGTTTGTAACCTTGTATTTTTTTTTCATTCTTTGGAAAAATTGCAAGCTTATAACTCATAAGTCATAAATTTGACATAACCCGACCTGCATGTGTGAACGGAGAAATCTCCTCACTCAAATATGACCTTCAGCTAATGTTATATTATCCGACAAATCAAAATTAAAGGACCTATCAATTTTATGTTCCAAATTACTTGTATTTAGATTTAGAAATTACTCGTATTACACAATGCATATAAACTCAAACGTCTCACCATTCACCAATCTAACAACACAAGGAGAAGATTGACTTTGTACTCAATAATAATTTCTTGAATTTTGTTTCAAATTTGATTCCCCATTTTATAAAGTTTGTTAGCCATTTGGTTTGATTCTTTGATACTTCGTATTTCCCTCAATATTTAATAGAATACACCAGTTATAATTTACACAATATTTATTATTTTATTTTGTTAACACACAAGGTTAGAGAGTAGTATTAATTGTCCATGGTCATCAAACATCTTTATACACCCTAATAACATATTGGGCATGTGTCAGATAAAAAAAAACGAAAAAAAAAAACCATTGGGTAACCTTAAGCTTTTTTTTATTTTTTATTTTTATTTTTATTTTTATTTTTATTTTTTTATTTGTACAAAGGTCACGACAAACAAACAACACTACAGTAAACTAACTAAAAAGACCAGCAAAGGAAACGACAGTCGCGAGCACGCACAACCAACCAATGTGCGAGAGCAACCCAAGTCATAGGCACCTTACAAAGCCGACAAGCGGAAAAGCGGGGGAGAATCTCTTGAATTTCCTGAAACACCCACAAATAGGAAATATCGGTAGTACCATAATGCCGAAACATGGAGATCAATGCCGCGCAATCCGTGTAAATGAGAAGGCGAAGATAACCCTGGCGAACAGCTGCCCGAAGAACCCACAAACAAGCTTAAAGCTCCGCCTGGAAAGCACAGATAGCCCAACTAGCTCTGGCACTACCCTCAAGAACTCTATCCGATAAAACCTCCAGGACCAATCCACGCTTGCATTGTTATCCTGACTAAGCCAAGCACCATCCAAAATCAGACAATGATCGAGAGGGTAACCTTAAGTTTATTACTTGAAAATTGTGTTGCTAACATTTGCTTAAAAAAAAGGCAAAATTAAGGTCGAAAGTTCATAGAACATATTTATTATATAGATGAGTGAACGAAATAATAAAATAGTTGAATCATACATTTTGGGACAAGTGAGTGAAATAATGTCATACAATGTGACATTTTTTAGAGGTATTCAAAAGATAATTAGTGTATACTCTTACAAATGAGTGAAAAATCAGTGAAAAATCAGTGAGCGAAACATGCTAGAATGTCAAACTTGAATAAGACCTTGTTCCTTTGAGCTGCTCTGCTCTGCTTAAAAATAATAATTAATATTTAATAAAAATAAAAATAATAATTATTAATATTTAATAATACTAACTAATATTTATAGATAATTATAATTAATATTTAATAATAATAATAATAATTAATATATAATATTGATAATAATTTAATATTTTATATTATTTAACACATTTTCTAATATTAAAAAAAAAATCTAAAAAAAAAACCAAATAATAATAATAATAATAATAAATAAATAAATAATGATAATAATGCAGCAATAATAATAATAATAATAATAAATAATTAATGATAATAATGTAATAATAATAATAATAATAATAATAATAATAATAATGCTGAAATCTGCTAAGCTTTGCGCTACTCTGCTCTGCCCTACTTTGCCCAAAAGCTCAATAGATCAGGGCCTAATACAAGTATCAACTCTAATAGAACTTTTTTTCTTTTTTTTTTACACAACTTTAGATCATGTTTGGTTAGAGAGTTTTTTTTTTTTTTTTTTTGAAATGAATTCAATTAAACTATTATCATTACTAAGTATTTAGTTAAAAGATTTTGGTAACAATTACCATTATCTAAGGGTAATGATTTTCACTATTATTACCTCTCTAAACCCTAAGGTAACATTATTCTTACCCCTTTCAGACAAATAGAAAATGAACTATGGTTAAGTGAATCATTTTAGAATTTGGAATAACACAATTGAAATCATTCTTTTTTAACGAGTATTTACATGCGATCACCTTGTAACTATATAAATTCAGAATTTAAATCGGATTAACTCTTGTACGTGCTTAATATCTCCAACCAACCAACCAACAAAGATATTTTTCATGGAAATTTTTAGATTTCAAGGTTTGATATTCCAAATTGGACTTAAGAATATTAATTTCCTACTAATGATCCACTCAAGCTACTGATTTGATTGACACATCAATATTCATCTAATTCCATTATTCGCCCATTATTTACATTAATTTTGAACTTATGTATATTGCCCTTTTGTAGACTTTCAGCAGCTAACTGTAACATTCTCAAAAATCTCTTGCCATTAACCTATACCAGCTTCAATTACCGCCAATACATCCCTCAAAATTCATTCAACTATCGCATAACTAATTTTAGTTATATTATGAATATATGATTTAACTTGATCTATATCCAGAAACAGGGGTAGATTATACAGAGTAATATTTGACTGGTTAATACAACTGTATGAATCAAAACAACTTGGAAAAAAAAATAAAATTAAACAAAATTAAATGAGAGATAGTATAACACAAAATTTGTTTTTATTATTATTTAACAACGATCATATATTACATACTACTCGAACTGAAAACATACTGAATAAAAACAGAGACCACAATTTTTTTTTTCGACAATTTATTACAAAAGAGTTTACTCACAGACGATCGAACTTGTTTCTCACTCGAAATTCCCAGAAAACAAGGTTTATTAATTAATTAAGAAACGTTGATAGATTTAACCTCAGGTTTAGGAGCTTCAACCTTGGGAACAGTAACAGTAAGAACACCATTCTCCATAGCAGCTTTGACATTATCAACCTTAGCATTATCGGGTAGCCTAAACTTCCTCATAAACTGACCAGAACTCCTCTCAACACGATGCCAAGTATCATTCTTCTCTTCCTTTTCTCTTGCCCGCTGCCCGCTGATTCTGAGGACATTTCCGTCTTCAACCTCGACTTTCACCTCCTCTTTCTTCACTCCGGGAAGATCGGCCTTGAAGACGTGAGCCTCCGGAGTCTCCCTCCAGTCGATGCGAGCGTTGGCGAAGGCGGCGGTTTCGGAGGCGGTGCCGGAGCGAGGGACGGTGGTGAGGGAGGAAGGGAGGTCGAAGAATGGGTCCCATACGTCGAGGGAGAATGGATCGAAGATGTTGCTGCGACGGTTGGTGGTGTTGAACCAGTTGTTTGGGATTAGCGACATTGTTGATTGATTGATGATCAAATTGGAGAGATTTGTGTTTTTTTTTTAGGGTTTTTTTGGGAGAATTTTTGTTTGCTGTGAATTTGCTGATTTCTGATGCAGATGGAGGGGGTTGAATTTATAGGAGAAGGTGACGAAGGAGAGATGATTTCATGAGATTTCTGGAAAGTGGATAACGTGTTAAAGGGAGAGCATGGAGGAATTGATGGGAAGAATGTAGAATACCCAGAATTGCCTAGAGCTTACTGTCCATTGGGTGTCTAGAACGTTCTACGCTAGACATGAAATTTCTCAATTTTTCTCTCTTAGCATGGTAAAATCGATGTCAATATTATGGGCTTTATGGCTTTTTTTTGGGGTGTGGTTTAGAATCACTTACTTTAGAATTTATTTTACACACCATTTAATCAAAAAAAAAAAAAAAATCTCTAAACTAAAGAATTTTTACTCGTGTTAAGTTTAACATATTAGTGATTATGAACTACATACCTATTTATCATCAACATATAAAAATGCTCGTATATTCGTTCTTGGTACAAGTAACTAGTTATACATTTATACGTATCACAGTACTCATTTATTCGTTCACATTTCAGTACTCTTTTTTGGTACATAATTTATCTTCCATTTTATATGTTTGTCGTTTAACAAATGCACCCTAATTGTTAAACATGATCATCATACTATCAAAAACATCATACCTCCTTCCACAAACCTATTGTTGCATTAAAATTCTACCTAAAGGTGGTTATGGGTCGTGTCATGACTTATCAGGCTTGATCTACGTATAAGCTCACTATACATGTTGTACTAACTAAGTCGATGAAGTCTTGTCAAGTTTCCATGTCTAGGCCAAATTGCACCTACCTTAACATGTTTTTGACATGCAGCGCCAAGGGAGGAGGTTGCTGCCAAGGGAGGAGGAAGGGGAGGGGGTGGTTGGTTGGTGGTTGGGGGTGGTGGTTTTTTTATATATAAATTAGATCTAATTATTTAGTAATTTGATGGGTTAGAGATTAATTAGAAGAAATGGGAGGAAATCAGAGTTTAATTAAGTTAATTAGAAGGTAATTAAGGATATAGGTATCCTCTTGCAAAAAAAAAAATGAACGTGGTGGTTTTTTTTAACCAAAAAAGCTTTTAAAAGATCTTTTTTCGCAAAATGGTGTTTTTAAAAGGTTTTTTTCTGACAAATTTTCCTAATAAATGCGAAATAACTTAATATAATTAGAGTTCACAAATAGAGTAAGGAAAAAGGTAGAATTCGAGATTAAGTTAGACTAATTTTATCTCAATAATATTAGTACTCCACTATTCCGTACATTTTATGATTGGGTTGGGTCATGATTCGTATTTTGGGTCGTTCATTTTGTTATTTATTGGGCTCTGCGTTATTAAATTGTTACCCGATATATTTTCAGAAATTTGTAACCGCTCAATTACCGGGGTACATCTTCTCTGTTTTTTGATACCAGTGTATCCAATTGGCCACCACGTGCTCGATAAAATGCTCAAGAGAAAGAGGGATAAAAACAGGGCTCCAATGGAGTTTAGCTCAGAGTATAAACAAATACAGCTCAAAATATTTCTGGGAAATTACCTTATAAATGGTCACTTTCAGTATCTTTCAAACCATGTGAACGGGCATACAGGCAAATTGTCCTTAACAAAGGTACTGCCTCTCCCTTTACTGGCTAAAAGTTGTCCCTCTGGTTTATTTCCAATATACCCCCTTAAATTCATTGCTTTATTGTGATTTTGACATTCAATTTTGTGCAAGATTTGCTTCTTTTAATTGATATGATGATTACACATTGTAATAACGACAACAACAAAACCTTAAATCCTACCAAAATGATTTAGGATAGGCTAACATGAATTGTTTGGAAAAAAAATAAAAAATAAAAAATAGTGAAATAAAAAAAACAATCATGATCAGGGATCATTAGTCCTTTGCATTGGAAATTCTATAGTGGTCGTTTGAAATATGACTACCAGAGTCTAATTATTGCACATGCAAGGTTAGTGAAAACTTGTACTCGTACGTCTCGTAGTAGGAATGTAGGATTACTTCCTTTTCGATACATGGTGTCACATTATTAAACAGTCGATAATACGGAGTGTGAATGTACGTTACATGTTCGTGGATGACAATTACGGAGTAGTAAGTCTCAACTCGTACAAACACGTTAGACAACACTTTAAGATAAGGTCAGTCAATAGAAGATGTATGTTAGCCTGTTATGCAGATGTTTTCTTGATGATTCTAATTTCCTCTCTGCTATATGCCAACTTGGTCTTGAAGAGACTAACTATAGATTTAATTAAGCTTAGGAAAAACTAAGTTTAAAGACCATTGCCCGCAGTGAGGAGAAAAAAAACCTCTCAATCTCTCTCTACCCACTTTCTCACTCTTCGCATCCAATTCCTCTCATGAGAAATTCCACACTAATGCTTTAAAAAAAAAACTCCTCATCACTCTTTCTCCCACTATTTTCTATACCCCACTATAATACACATCACTTTATTTATATTCTTTATAATTATGTTAATATAATTATGTATTAGAAATTGAGAAATTAGTGAATATAGGAGATTTTTTTGGTTTTTGAAAATATATCAAAAAATATGAAAATGGATGTCTATTTGTAAGAAAAAAAATTATGACGTTGGTGATTTTTTTTTTTTTTTTTTATAGTTTAAACGGTAATATACTGTTTGAAATAATATTGCCGTTGCAAAAATTTAAAAAAAAAAGGAAAAATGCTGATGCAGTGGGGCCCACGCCTTTTACTGTTCATCATCAAGTTCCTCTCAATAGTTGCGCGGGAACAAAAGCTCTCAACTTTGGGGATTTTTCCTCTACTGATGTAAAAGCTTGGTTTTTTATTTTACACTCTTATTCCACTCGTGAGGGGTTTTTCCCTCAATGGTGGGAGTGCTCTTAACAATAAAACCAATGTTTCTGCTAGCAAACATCTTACACGTTTGATATATACACCAGAAATTAGAGCCAAGCCAGCTGAATTGGATAAGATGAGACGAAGATTGGTGCTTTTCCCTTTACCATTGCAAGGGCATCAGACACCCATGCTTCTGCTTGCAAGCATCTTATATTCAAAAGGCTTCTCCATTTCTATTATTCATACACAATTCAACTCACCTAATCCTGATAATTACCCACATTTTACTTTCCATCCTATTTCTGAGAGCTTGTTGGGCTGTAAAGCTTCTAATGCAGATGTTATAGGACTTCTGAATACGCTTAACGTTTACTGTGTGGTGCCTTTCAGGGATCTTTTGGCTCAGATACTGTCACAGAACGCTGTCAAAGAGCCTGTTGCTTGCTTAATTACTGATGCTATGTGGCACTTCACACAAGATGTTGCAGACAACCTCATGCTCCCAAGGATTGTGTTGCGGACCAGTAATCCATCATCTTTTGTTGCATTTTCTTCTTTGTCGTATTTTCGAGAAAATGGGTACCTCTCGGCTCAAGGTATGATATCAAAACATTTGCTTTTGTTTTGTTCCACTTTTGTTTGTACTGCCTTGCTAATAACAAGTACAAATAGATCACTCCCTAGTTGAGAAGCTATTTATCCCCAAGAAATGGAAAATACAATGTCTGAATGCCACCATATTATTTATAAAACTAATTATTCATGTTTCAAACTTTGTTTATTTAGCTGTTTGGTAGGAGTAGAAAATGGAAAAGAAAGGAAAATAATTTAAGTAAATGTATAGCTTTTCCTCCCACAATCATGAATTTGGATAGAATGGAATACATGAGATTTTCCTTCATAATTTTTTCAAAATCCTCTAAAATTAATTACCAAATTAATGAATTATTTCAGTGAAATACTAGTTACTTTCCTTTCCCTTCTTTAACATCTTTGAAAATTTTAAATCCGGACGAACAATAATTTAACTCGTGCCTTCAGATAGTTTCCAAGTGTCATGTTAGGATTCATGTTTTTGTTATTTGGAGAGTGTCATCATGTGAATATGTGTCAATATCATGATCTCGCATTGGAGTCCTGTGTCAGATTTTGAAATTTTCAAGGTTATCCTCTGCTGTCCTATAGAGAAGAGCAGGCAATAATACAATAAAGGACTGAGCAGCTCTATATGTTTTAAATTCTTCTGGAGGCTGCATTGGTTGCAAGCTCCTCTGTCGGCTTAACAACATTGTAGATATTATATCATTCTACGCGCTGTCTTTTCTTTCAAATGAATCCATGAAAATACGGCTAGAAGTCATACAGTAGTGTACAATGTGTGGAGTATTTGATGAAGTTTACAAAGATTTATTTGTGCAGAAATTGATATATCGTAAAATGAGACACAAACTTACCTAGTTCATTATGTAATTGTGTGTGTATTATACATCACTTGTAGCCTTTAAGGGCCTTTAAAAATATAGGAGTAGAAGACAATATATGCTGACAAGCAACTGTTTCAAAATTAGGACCGGACTTATTTTCTGACCATTTGATTCTCTGAGATCAGGACTGGACTTATACTTTTCGTTTAGTTTTCCCATTTTTTTTTTAATCTTCTTATGCTCCTCAGGTTGTCAATTGGAAGAGAAAGTGCCAGAGCTTCCACCTTTGAAAATGAAAGACATTCCCATACTTGGCACACGTGATCTAGAAGCAACTTATGGATTAGTTTGTAACATGATAGAAAAGACCAAGTCCTCAAGAGGACTCATATTCAACTCCTTTGAGGAACTTGAAGGTCCTGCACTGGCCATGCTCCAACAAGACTTTAACATTCCCATTTTTGCAATTGGCCCGTTTCACAAGCAGGCTCCATCTTTATCAAGTGGCTTGTTAACGCAAGAACGAGACTGCATTTCCTGGTTGAATGCTCATGCACCCAAGTCAGTGCTATATATTAGCTTTGGAAGCATAGCTGCAGTTAGTGAGGCAGATTTTCTGGAGATTGCCTGGGGCTTAGCAAATAGCAAGCAACCATTCTTATGGGCTATTCGGCCTGGGTTGGTCCGTGGCTTAGATGGGCCTGCTCCACTGCCAACTGGGTTCTTGGAGAAAATTGCAAAGCAAGGCCGGATTGTTACATGGGCCCCACAAGACGAGGTTTTGGCCCATCCTGCAGTTGGAGGATTTATGACTCACAGTGGCTGGAACTCGACCTTGGAAAGTATTTGTGAAGGTGTACCAATGCTCTGTTTTCCTTGCTTTGGTGATCAGATGGTTAATGCTAGACATGTAACTGATGTGTGGAAGGTGGGTTTGCGATTTGAGAATGGACTAAACAGAGATGATATAGAGAACTCTATCAGAAGAGTGCTGGTGGAAAACGAAGGCAAGGAGATGAGTCAGAGTTTGGCATGTTTGAAAGAGAAGGCAAGTCTTTGTCTAGCAGCTGGTGGATCCTCTCACAAGTCCTTGGAAACCTTGGTTTCACATATCTTATCATTTTGATTATTTTACTTCATGATAAATGTGTACCCCTTTGGACCCTCTCCTTGACATTAATTAAGTGTAGGTGACTTTTCAATGTGATCAAATGTTGTTTTCTATGTACCCAATTATCTGCACTGCAATGGTATTTAATTTTATGCCTTTCTCAAATAATGACTAGCTCCTCTCCTTTATCTGTAGTTTTCTGATGATAAAATTGGCTGTCTCAGTCTGTGGAAAAACATGTTAGAAGTCAAAGCAATTACGCAGCTTATACATTGCAAAATGCACATCTATATCTAATTTACAGTGTACCATCAATTTTATATGCAAACTATAGATTTCTCAACATGTGTTGATATCACTGCTTTCAATGTTCTAATAAAATTCTGGTCCACCTTCAGAAACAGGGAAGTTGTGGTCCAGGACTCCAGGGATACTGATGTCTGATGCAAGCTTTTCTTAAATAAGAGGGCGGTAATGCTGTCCAGTATCCCTCAACCTAAAATCTAGCTAGGCTGCCTGTAGTGCAATAACAGATGGATCGACGAAGATTGGTGTTTTTTCCTTTGCCATTGCAAGGCCACCAGACTCCAATGCTTCAACTCGCAAGCATCCTGTATTCTAAAGGATTCTCTATATCTATCATCCATACCAACTTCAACTCTCCTAATCCTGCTAATTACCCCGATTTTACCTTCCACTGCATCCCTGATAACTTGTCAGAAAGTGAAGCTTCTACTGAAGATCTTACACTGCTTCTGCATAACCTTAATACGAACTGTGTGGCGACTTTCGAGGCTATTCTATCACAACTAATGTCAAAATTTGATGTTGCTTGCTTAATAACAGATATTATATGGTATTTCACGCAAGCTGTTGCTGATAGCTTTGACCTTCCAAGGATTGTGTTGCGGACTAATAATCCATCTTCTTTCATGGCTTTCACTTACTTGCCGCTTTTTAGAGAAAAGGGTTACCTATCTGCCCAAGGTACATTCTAAAGCTTGTATTTTTAGCTGTCATTTTTACCTTGCCTAATGCTATCTTCTGCAAAGCATTTGAAGCCTACCTAGAAGCTTCCATAGGGATAAGATTTGAGAAGAACCTGAATGAGAGATGATAAGAGTTTCTAAGAGCTTGCACATTGTTGCGGCCTCAACCTTTGCGGCACCAGTCTTTGTTCTTTTTCTTTCCTTCCCCCTCATTTTACACTAACGTTGTCCCCGTTGATTAACAATGGAAGGTCACCACACTTTATCTCGTGCTTTATACTTGTACCTTACCATATATGCTCCTACCCAATTATTCTGTATTACATCTATATTCCTTAAAATCAATATATTTAAATAATTTGTACGATATTAGTAAGAGACAAATGTTGAATGTAATTCATTAATGATGGAAAGATGGGCAATGGTGTTTTCTTTACCTAGTGATACTGCATTAAATCAAAATGAGCTTGCATTGTGTTTTATGAACTTAAATTGGTTTCAATTTATACACCCTCAAATTAAACTCCTAATTGAGGACTACTCCCTTTGTTTCTAAATAAGTGATATTTTTGCCTTTTGATGTCTAACTTTGATGTTATATACCTCTCAAATCAATAGAAATAATAAAAATTACGATGTTAGATTTGTACTGTTATGAGTTTACAGTAGCTTCATTTTATTATTTTTGTCAAAAAATATTGAAAGAAATCTACTATCAATGTTCAGCCTCGAAAATCACTTATGTAGAAGTTGGGTGGGTGCTAAATAATTTCCCAACACTTATTCATCACCTGCCAAGTATGTGCTGGTCAAGAGCTCAAGTCTGATATCTACTTATTTAATCCTTAATTGGCTAATGACTTTGAATTTGTGCTGCTCAGTGCTTTGACACATAAACATGCATGACATCTTTGCTCTCTATGCATGAAATTTGAGCTTTTCTTGATTTCTATGATGTCTATATTTCAATGGTTATATCTAATTACTACTTGAATTTTTTGAAATTAACTGAATTCTTGCTGAATATTGTAGATGTATTTCTTTTATCCCCTATAAATTAGTTGAGCCCCTGTTGTGCATGTTTAGATTTGTTATGACTTAAGATGTGATACTTTTGGAAATAGTGAAGAAGACATCAAGATAAGCAAGTTATTTTCTTGGGACAGTCTACATGTTTAGTAGCTATAGTTGGCAAAAGTATCCTTCAGTTTGGGTCGTATTCAAACAATGAATCAATAAGTCTATAAGTATATAAAAAAGAAAAGAAAAAGTTCATGATCGTCATTAGGTTAATTGGGCCCTTCAATTACTATAGATTTCTAGTTTGGTCCCAACTCTCTCATTCAAGTCTACTGATTTCAATTTTCAACCTTAGTTTGTAGTAGATTGTTACTTGTCTACTACCTTAGTTCTTGGTTGATCCGGTATTGCACATGTCATCTCCAGTTATCTAACCTTCTAGTATACTGTAAACCTATCCAATGAAAAAAAAAGTAGTATTAGATTATTTCATCTGTTACACGTTTCTTAATTTGCATGCTGTCACAGGCACTCAGCTAGAAGAACCAGTACAGGAACTTCCACCTCTGAAAAAGAAAGATATTCCTAGGATTTACACTCGATTTCCGGAGCTAAATGATGAAGTAACACATAAGTTGATGGAAACAACCAAAGCTGCAAGAGGACTTGTGTTTAACTCTTTTGAAGAACTTGAGGGTTCTTCATTCACATTGGTTCGTCAACACTTTCAAATACCAGTTTTTGCAATAGGGCCATTTCAGAAACAGGTTAAGGCTTCTTTTAGTAGCCTATTGGTGGAGGACCGGAGTTGCATTCCTTGGTTAAGTGCTCAACCACCAAAGTCTGTGTTATATGTTAGCTTTGGTAGCATAGCTGCTATTGATGAGACTCAATTTCATGAAATTGCATGGGGGCTGGCTCATAGCAAGCAGCCGTTTTTATGGGTCATTAGACCTGGATTGGTCCGGGGATTAAATGGGCGAGCTCCATTACCAAATGGGTTCTTGGAGATAGTCATGGGCTGGAGCAGGATAGTTGGGTGGGCCCCACAAGAAGAAGTGTTGGCACATCCTGCTGTAGGTGGGTTTTGGACTCATTGTGGATGGAACTCGATTTTGGAAAGCATATGCCAAGGAGTGCCTATGATCTGCCTGCCTTTCTTCGGTGATCAGATGAATAATGCAAGGTATGTAACCGACGTTTGGAGGGTTGGATTGCGGTTTGAGAAGGGGTTAAAACGAGAAGATATAGAGAAGGGAGTCAGAAGCCTAATGGTGTTGAAAGAAGGCAAAGAAATGACACAGAGGGTGGTAGTTTTACAAGAGAAAGCAAGTCTTTGCATTGAGAAAGGTGGATCATCTTACCAATCCTTGGAGAGTTTAGTTGCTCATATTTTGTCGTTTTGAATGAGATTGATCATTACTCAAGAGTCAAGAGCTTTAGTTACACTTTTTTTTCTTTTAATTGAACATTGAACATCTTCTGAGCAAATATAGCAACTAGTCTTTGTAATTGTATTGAAATACAGTAGTGCGGCAACTGTAAGTAAGTAGAAGACTGGAAGTCATGCTCCTTACTCTCAGTCAAAAATACAAAAGCAAATTCCAGATTATTGGTATAGCTGTCTATATTTGTCTAGTATTCGTAGCCTAATCTGTTAGGCAAATAGGCTTTTCTGTTACACAACATGTTTGAGTGTTACCTTGTCAAAAAAAATAAAAAAATGAAGATGATGGGCGGCAATTTTCCAAATAAAGGAAGTAACAACTCATATTTATAGTGAATAGCTAAACCACGTTCGGTATTTACCATGTAATGCCCGTATTTTAACATGACTTTACAAACATGTCCCCATATAAAATGTACCCTATTTCACTTTCACTTTCTTTAACCACTCTCTAACTAGTTACCCCACCAACCACCAAACAACCATCACCTACGAACAACCACCACGTCATATTTTAAAAAGAAAAAAAATTGTTTTACTCTTCACCAATTAGCGCAAACGGTGAATGGACGAGTTTAAGGAAGCAACGACTGAAATTTTAGAATGTTATGGGGGGAAACGCTTAAAATTTTAGAATGTTATGGGGGGAAACGCCTGAAATTTTAGAATGTTCCGGGGGAGATTCTAAAATTTCAGGTGTTCCTTCCATGGAACATTCTAAAATTTCAGGCATTCGTCTGGAACGACTGAAATTAAAAAAAAAAAATGTAAAACAAGTACCTGATTGCCAACCCCCTTACCTTCCGATTTCTTGACATCGTCCCTTGTAGCCGGTCGCAACCCTTGGTGGCGACATAATTGTGGTGGCTTTGCTTGATGGTGACGGAATTGTGGTGGTTTGCTTGGTGGTGGTTGAGGATGAAATTCTTAAGGTGAAGAGAGAGAAAAGTAAAAGTGAAAGTAAGAGAGAGAAGATTGAAGAGTTATTTAAGAAAAAGTTACTTAAGGGAGTTCATATAAAAATACGGGAGTTACCCGATGAATACCGGACGTGATTTAGTACCCCTATTTCTAATATCGTTACATCGATTGAAAGGCAGTAATTATGGTAATGGATTTCAACCTCAAATATGTGCTTATTTGTAATTTTGAAATAAAAACTCGTATCAATGTCCTGAAAAATAGAAAATGGAAGCGTCATCCACCTAATAGCTGCTTTTTTACTTGTACCGTACAATACATTACAACTATAGATGTGACACTAAACAATAACGAGAAATTAGGAAGAAAAACATACTTTATTTGGAGATGATTAAGTATTACCAATATCATATGCAAATGACAAATGAGACTTTCTTCCAAAACTATTCCAAAATACAACAAACAATAAAGAGAAATTATAAAGAAAAACATTCTATAAAGAAATACAACAAACAATAGCATGCATACGATTATACGAATGACAAGTGGAGACTTTTCTCCTAAACTGTTACAAAATATAACATTACTCATGCAACACTTTGATTGTTTGCACTATAAGTATTCAGTTAGTGGCTTTGATAAGATAATAGCAAACAACTTCATTATAATGTTGTTATAAATGTTACAATGTATATTTGCATTGTATCAACATTTTATAATTTAATTGACAATTAAATATATTAATGCTCAAAGTTATGTATTGGCAAACACGTCCAATCAAGTGTTAACAGTGAGAGTATTTGCTAATGCCAACCAAATGGGGCGTTAGATGTTTTAGCCATTTACAAATCCGATAACAATTGCAATTTCACTACATACAAGACCCAAACAGAATGTACCAGTCTACATGCTAGAAGGCCAAAACGACAATAGGATCAATTATTTATTCAACAAAAACTTATCTTGTTGAAAGTTGTTGCAAGTTCCAATTATTGTACGCAAGCATATAACCTGCAAATTCTTTCATACCATGAACCAAGACAAACTTTTTTTAAAAAATCAAAAAACAAATCAAGACTAACAAAAGTTGTTTAGAGCTTTAATTAGGCTGTCAAAGAAAATCTGCAGGCAACAAGAAACAGCAAGAAGTACTTCAATGGAGAAGCAAGACAGCAAGCTGGGTTGCAGAGTAATACTGCTTCCCCATCCATATGTAGGCCACACAACTCCAATGTTCAATTTAGGATACGCGCTTTATTCTAAAGGATTTTCCATCAATATCATCCAAACTCGTCTCAACTCTTATGATCAAACTGCATTTCCTAACTTCACCTTCCACTACATGGAAGGAGGACAATGGAGTCTTGAAACTCTGGCTTCCTCATTCGATCCTTGGGAGATAGTAACTTTACTGAATAAGAGATTTTCAGCGCCTTTTCGAGTATCCTTGACCCAGGTCTTGGAGGATGCTACTAAGGGCACAGAGCCAGTTGCTTGTCTGATATCAGACCCGATATGGGATTTCGCAGGAACAGTTGCTGATGAATTCTACCTTCCAAGACTTGCTCTAAGAACTGGTGGCTTACTTGCTTTTGTTCTATATGAATCACTGCCACTTCTACGGCAAAAAGGCTACTTCTCCCTCCAAGGTATGTCTATTTCCTACTTTCCTAGCTTGTCAACTTGAATAACTTCTCCATCCAAATCCAAAACAAAGTCAACCTGCATACAAGGAAAGACAAAGTGTCAGCAAAACCTAAGATCTGGTAGTTTTCAAATTAACCGGCTGTCATTGTATAACCATAAATCTCCAGAGCCTGGGTTTAGATGACGATGATTTTGTTCGCATCTCCATGATTCATGCAAATAGTTAGCCATACACATACATGTACGAGCACACACAAAAGTTTATGTGATCGTTAATCAATTCTAATTAATATGAGGTGCTGCAAGCAAGAAAGGAAATACTGATGAGCATATATATATATATTCTGTACACATGTATTTATGTTTTTCCTCATTCCTTTAACTGCCTCTATCCTTCAGAGAGTGAACAAGAAACAACTGTGTTGGAGTTTCCACCCCTCAAAGTGAAAGACCTACCATCAGATGCAAATCATGATAAAATTGCTGCTGTGGTTAAAGAAGCCAAGAGTTATCATCTGGGATTCGTTTGTAATACATTCAAGGAGCTAGAAGGGTCTTTATTAGACCAATTTGGCAGAAGTGTTCCCGGTATTCCCGTCTTTCCAGTAGGCCCACTGCACATATACCCCTCAACTAGTATGGGTGGAAAACACAATCAAGACCACAGCTCCATCACCTGGCTAAACACACAAGCACCAAATTCTGTATTATATGTGTGTTTTGGGACTATTGCAGCAATAAGCAAGGATCAGTTTGAAGAGATAGCTTGGGGTCTTGCCAACAGCAAACAGCCGTTCTTGTGGGTGGTCCGACCCAGGATGATTAATGGCTCAGATACGGATGAAGACAAATTACCTGAAAATTTTCTCGAGGCTGTGAGTGGGAGAGGCTATATTGTGACCTGGGCACCACAGCTAGAGGTTTTGGCCCATCCAAGTGTTGGAGGATTTTGGACTCACTGTGGTTGGAATTCAACTATTGAGAGCATTTCCAAAGGAGTACCCATGATTTGCTTTCCATTTTTTGGGGATCAGAAGATGAATACTAGACATGTCAGTGATATCTTGAGGATCCGGTTGTATTTGGAGAAAGGGCTAGAGAGACAGGATATAGAGAGCGCAATCAGAAGACTGATGTTGGAAAAAGAAGGCAACGAGATGAGAGAAAGGATAGCAGCTTTGAAAGAGAAAGCACATAGTTGTCTCATGGAAGGAGGGTCTTCATATGAAGCTTTGGATCAGTTAACTAATCACATTATATCATTTCGTGGTACTGAAAGACCTAGGATATGAACTCAAGTAATACCATAGACTCAATTGAGTTACAAAGTATTACTTTTACTCTACAAGGTGAAATAACAGAGGCCTCTATCTTATTCAAACTCTTTTCTTTTTTATTACAGAGTATTATTCTTGAATGTATTTAGACATTTATGGCTGTAACTTGGACTAAATTTTCTTCAGTTAGAAGTCTAAACTCGATTGTGATGCTGATAAAAAATCACCTCCCCTCTTTAATAAAAAAAATTCCATTTTTAGTCCCTTTCCTCTCTTTCCCTTCTGCTCTATTTTTCTCCACCATTGTTATCCAAACACACCGTTAGACTTATGTTCAATAAGAAATAAGAGGAAAACTGATAGATTAGGGAAAGAGAGGGAACGAGAAAGGAAGGGAAGGGAAGAAATCGATTTGCATATTAATTCTCAATCTTCTCAAAACTTTCAAGGTTTAATAATTATAAAGGAGGAAACATCTATTTTCGCCCCTCTCCCTTCCCTTCCCTTCCCTTCCCCCCAAATCACATCCAAACAAGAATTAATCGGCCCCCTCACTCTTCGTCTCTTCCGGCAATTTAAGATTCCCGTATCCACCCCTCCCCCTCCCTCCCCCACATCTCACATTCAAACAAAAAATAATCAGCCCCCTCAATCTTCGTCTCTTTTGGCGTTTAAGAATTCCTCGTCCACATACTAAAAAAATTTACATAAACCACATGTACAAAAGCTTTGAATCTCCAATGCATTATGGGACCAGTGCATGGTATGGGGGAAGCTGAAAAAATATCAATGAAACAGTTGTCCATGCACAATCACATGTTTTATTAGTGCTACAACGCATGCATGTACTCTTCTGCTTTTGGCTGCTTTCAATGTAATTCCAACAGGCAAATTTCTAAGAAATCACTGACGGTGCTACCACTTCGGATTCTGCATCTTCTATAAATTCCCTACAAATTAGTAAGCATTTCTGGGCGTACCAAAACCTGTACTGCTATACAACATATCACAGAGAAACCTTTGACCAAATGTCCCAAAGATTAGCCAAAGTTCCCAAAGAGGGAGCGACACAGCAAAGCAAGATAAGATTAGTCCTATTCCCTCTACCCTTGCAAGGCCATATTACACCAATGTTCCATCTAGCCACTCTTCTCCACTCAAAAGGTTTCTCAATAACTATCACCCAAACAAAATATAAATCTCTTGATCCTACCCTATTCCCGCACTTCACCTTTCACCTCCTAGATGATGGCTTGCCTGATAATGCCACATTCGATCCAAATAATCACACCATGATCCTAGACACCCTAAACACAAACTGCTCAGAACCGTTCAGAAATTGCTTAACCCAGATTTTGAGCAAGGAGCCCATTGCTTGCCTTATTACAGATCCTATGTGGTCATTCACAAAGTCTGTTGCCAGTAGCCTCAGCCTTCCCAGGATCGTGCTGAGGTGTGCTAGCATGTCTACCTTTTACGTTTATCATTCCCTGCCATTTCTACGAGAAAAGGGTTACTATCCTCTCCAAGGTACTAACCTCAACATCTTTGCTTTGGCAGTATTTGAATTAAAATTATAATCGTACATAATTATTTATCACTAACATATAACCCATACCAACGTAATCTTTATATAAACATTATACTAATCCATATTTGTTAAGGAATCATTAAGGATAATGATGAAAAAGTTTAACTTGTACTAATTGGATAGCTTGTCTAATTTTTGGGGACAATAGAGAAAAGTGGTTATAACTTAAGGGGAAAAGCGTAAATTTGTTTAATACAAGGATCTTAAACAATTCTTGTACTGGATTTTTCTTCAACTTGTTGATAAACAGAAAAATACAGAGAGTTCCGGGTATCAGCACAAAAGATAGGCAAAAAATTGGTACAAATTTTACCTCATATGCGCCATAAACATCATGGTTCAACATCAAAGGCTAGAAAGAAGAATTCATCAATCATATACTCCGTACCATGTACTCAAATGCAAAACAGGACACAAGCCAAGCTAAAATAACTATAGGCTTTCAAAATAATCATCAAAGAAACAAAAAATGGCCCTAAGCACCTATCTAACACGTGTCAACACTATAATATGTTTATCAAAGCAACAACTCGGGGCAACACCTCGGCCACACTTGTAAATGTATTTTACTAAATGTTTTAAAACTATTTCTCACGGGCCGCACACAAGTACATGTATTATTACTTGATGTCTTAAGATTTAACATGTCATTAACAGGCCTCATACTCACTATTATTTGTAGTTTTGAATTTCATTGCATTAACTAGCAAATTCTAATTTTCTATTCTTTATGGCATTTCCTTCCATTCAAATTTTGACCACTCATCTAGGTCTATCTCTCACACAAACATATGTTTCAGAGACTAAATCTGATGAGCCAGTACCAGAGCTTCCACCACTCAAAGTCAAAGACCTACCTCCAGAAGCAAAACATAACCTCTTGGTTGATATAATTACAGAAATGGAGAATTCACAAGGTATCATCTGCAACACTTTTGAGGAACTTGAAGATTTTTATATAACAAGAGTACACCAAGTCCTTCCCATCCCCATCTTTGCAGTAGGTCCAATACACAAAAACTCACCAAGTTTTCAGGCTAGCATATGGACGCAAGATCATACATCCATTTCATGGCTAGATACACAAGCCCCCAAGTCAGTGCTCTATGTTAGTTTTGGAAGCATGGTACAAGTGAGCAAAGCTGATTTTGTAGAGATAGCCTGCGGATTAGCCAACAGCAAGCAGCCGTTCCTATGGGTAGTTCGTCATGGCTCGATTGAAGGATCAGATGAAATTGATCCACTCCCCTTGCCAGAGGGTTACTTAGACACAATAGGTCAAAGAGGGAATATTGTTAACTGGGCACCTCAACAAGAAGTATTAGCCCACCCTGCAGTAGGAGGTTTCTGGACTCATTGTGGATGGAACTCAATTATGGAGAGTATTAGTGAAGGTGTACCAATGCTTTGCCTACCTTTCTTTGCTGATCAGAATATAAACACGAGGCACATAAGCGACCATTGGAGGATCGGAATGGAGCTGGACAAGGGAGTGAAAAGAGGTGAAATAGAGAGAGCAATCAGAAAACTGATGGTGGAAGAAGAAGGTGAAACAATGAGAAATAGAATCACAGCTCTGAAAGAAAAAGCAACTCTTTCTGTCATGGAAGGTGGCTCCTCATACAAATCCTTGGAGAATCTCACTAATTATCTATTGTCATTCTAATCAATGTATCCATTGTATGAGATCGCACGTAAGTGTGCATCATGCTCTGAAGAAAATAAACAGTGTCAATGTTAAAAGGAGCATACTAGCATGTGGAAGAACTTTATGAAAGACTCTTTAAATATATACAGTATCATAGATTTGCAACTACCAAATATAGAACATTTAGTATCTTCTAACATAAATTTTTGAGAAAGTTACCTTAAGACTATTTCATCTTCACCTTATTATTTAAAGGTCTTCCGATTTGAAAATTTTAAGGTCTAGTTTGAATTATTATCTTTATAATTTGATTTGGTTTGATATAATTTGATTTAACAATGATAAGTAAAATGTAAAAATAACAAGTGAATAGTTATGTATGTTGGCAGGTTAAAAGACTAGGTTAGAGCGAGGGAAAGCTCTAACAATTGTGGAAAAGTCCAATTGTAATAGGTTGTAACTAGGAGTTTTGGTCTATTATGGTGAAAAGTTTTTTAGGAAAATACCTAGTGAGTTGATGTTTTAATTCCCTGGAAGGTTTTCTTGTTAATTTTGTTGTCTTCCCTTTTAAGTTGCTATGTAATTTTGCTTTAGTTCCGCGATAATTGGCCTATAAAGAACTTACTACAATCCACCCCCCTCTTTTATCTCACATATCAAAGGCTATTATACACTGGTCCAAATCCAAACGAGGGCAAGAGGCTGAAATCGTCTATTTTGAGAGACTATAGACCAGACTTGTTCTAATACCTAGCAAAAAATCCATGCTTGATCCGGTTATGGACCGGGTTTGAGATTTCAAACTTCTTAACAAAAAAAAAACACAAAAAAAGATAGAAGCATTTCATATTATCTCAATCACTATACAAAGGTCAATTTTGAATAAACATTAAGAGGGTGAATTTCAAGCAAACATAAACAATGAATTTAAGAATTAAACCAAAATTTGAGTGGAAATGAAACTAACCAAAACAATCCATGAAAGCCTTAACATAATTATCCTCCAGAAGTCTCGTTCCGCCCAATAAGAGCACCACCACCGCGCCACCCGGGGGAGGAGGCGGCGTCGTTTCGAAGAAAAAGGATGTGGGTTGGATCGGCAGCGTTCGGAGCACCACCATTACCGGAGGAATGCCGCCGGCGAGGTTCCTGGCGACGAGGTCGATTTAATGACAGGTGGAAAATGTGATTAATTAACAGTTTTTATAACCTACTTAATTTTTAGGGTTTTTCTAAGTTATACCCTTAAGATAATCGAGTTTATAATGCGTATCCATGCTTTTTAAAATTTCTAAGTTATGCCCCTCAACTCACTACCATTAATGAATGGTACCCTTCTTGGGATTTCCACGTCACCTAAAGTTAACTATAAATTTAATAAAAATATGATAAAAGGTATGGAAATGATGGGAGAAAGAAATTTTAGCCATTGCAAGCCTAATAACGAAAACTGAAGCCACGAAATCACACTCTCAATTAAGTTTTAAACAACTAATAAGGGTACATTTTAGTATTGATAAGCAGTTGAAGGGCACGGCTTAGAAACTTGAAAAAGCATGGATACACCTTAGAAACTCGAATACCTTAGGGGTATAGCTTAGAAAAACCCTAATTTTTATTTTTCAAGGTAATCTATAGTTTGGTAATCACCCAAAATTGTACTTTGTACTATACTCCATATTATCTTGTACTCGTATTTCCTTTTTTTTTTTGGAAATTTTCCATATTATCTGAGACATTGTACATTGTATTATGTATTTATTTTTATATAATACAAGTGCAGTAGAAAGATATGATCATTACCATGAGGTTGGAGGTTTAATCCTATCAAATACTATATGACTGTTTTCCTTATGAGTTTTTTGAGTTTGACCACAAGAAATAGGGAGAAATTTTTAAATAAAGTAAAAAATGGGGAGTATCAAACTCGTTAGGATATGCTTCCCTTTTTTTTTTCTTTTCAGATGACGCGTTTTGACTTTAACACTATTCACACATTTTCCCTTTGACCGCTTTTGTGATTTATACATCATATCATATCACTAATAAATAAAATTGGTCTCGCAATTAGGCCACGAGACATCGGCACTTGACATTCCAGTTTTTCGCCAAGTGTCAAGCCACATAGGCGACAAATATAGATATTATTGTGATTAGATTAGACGTCACGTTAGATTAAATTGGATAAATTTGTTTAGGATTAAAAAGTATACATGAAATAATTTATAATTAAAAAAAAAAAAATTATTGACAATAGAATTTTACTTATAACAGCCACCACATATTATAATTAATATGAATATCCAATTAACAATAGAATTTTACTCTTATGCGAATAACCACGCAATTATAATTATAAATATGGTCATGTATCATTAGTTGTTTTAGTCTACCACTGATACCATTAAAGCTTTTTAATCGGGTATTCTTCACATTCGATTGTAATATTTTTGTGTATATTTGTGATTTTGTTAATGAAATTAAAGAAGTTAAAAACTACTAATATTAGGACACAACAAAAACTGTACAATACAAGGGAATCTTGAAGTGAATTTATATCAATGTTTAGCAATGTCTTAGAACTTTATCGGTTTTTCACTTAAAAAGTGTTTCAATAAAAAAAATTATTTTCATGCTAATCATATATATATATTCTATTCAGCATTATCGAAAGGATTTATTTGACCGTATTTAACATTCAAACGGAAAATTAATCCTAAAATTTTATTTACAATTCAAGCATCGCCCGGGCACAAAACTAGTAATGAAATATAGTCACGATACATATCTTCAAAATATCAACTTTTTTATAATATTTTATTATTGGCAATTAAAAATATTAATGGTTGAATATGTACATTGACAAACATGACTAAAGAAACGTGTTAACTAAAAAAAACGAAAGAATTACTTGGATAAGATGGATAGCCTAGTACTATATTGTTTTAATTTTCAAAACACTGGTTTTCCTCGGTCTTTAATGCTCATCTCTAACCATTAATTTCTTCAACTATGATTAAGTGTAAGTTAAATCTAAAAATTTACATTGAGAAGATTTAAACGATATCTTACATGCTATTTTATATATACACATAGAGTACTAATCATAATCTACGATCAAATACGTCTTTATTTTGACCACGTTAATACATTTGATGTTAGTATGATACATATGAAGTTTTTTTTTTTTATTAAGGGCAATACTCCATAGTAATAATAGGTTTATGTAGAGGCTTATTTTACCTTTTTTCAAGTTTGTGGAAAAAACCTCTTATTGTTGTTGGGAGTTTTAAAAAAGAAAAGGTTTGTATTTCCTTTCAGGTAAAAGCTAACGTTAGATAAGATGACTAAAAGTGAAAAAATTAAATTAAAATGAACATTAATTACAACGATCGACGCGTGATTTTGGCATGCATTCCCAAATTAATACCACTTTAGAAAATTGTTTTAAATGCTTGAGAAGGTATTGGGTGCGGATTGCCACACGCAAATTATGCGTGCACAAACTTAATTGGCTAATATATATCACTTGTTGGCTGATATGTTTCATGTATGTGTTGGCTGATATGTTTTATTTGTTGGCTAATATATTCCTTTTGTTGGCTGAAATGTTTTTTTTTTGTTTTTTTTAATATGTTTCTTTTGTTGGCTGCTATCAGACATCAGTTGGCTGATATGTTTCTTTAGTTGGATGATATTTTTATTTTGCTGGTTGATATGTATATTTTAATTGTTGGTTTATATGTTTCATTTTGTTGACTGATATGTTTATTTTTGTTGGCTTAACTGTTGCTTTTGTTTGCTGATTTCATCCTTTTGTTGGCTGATATACTTCATTTGTTGGTTGATATGTTCCTTCTATTGGCTGATTTGTACCTTTTGTTGGCTGATATATTCCTCTTGTTGGCTGATATGTATCTTTGGTTAGCTGATAGGTTCCTTTTGTTGGCTGATACGTTTTTATTAATGTCTGATATGTCCCTAATGTTGACTGATATCAAACATCAATTGGCTTATATGTTACTTTTATTGGCTGATATGCGTCATTTGTTGTCTTTTTATTTCCTTCTCACTTTCTCTACCCTTCACTCTTCTTCACAAAATCATGGGCAATTTCTCTCTTCCCCATGCATTCTTTCTCTCTTTGCTGATCTTATGACGGAGGAAATAAGATAAAGTAGAGAAGATTCATATGACATCAGGGGCCAACATTAATTAGAGATTCATAATCTCAGCCCAAAATCACTCTTCTTTTTTTGCAACCTCAACTCTCTTCTCTCTTTCATACGGAGTACTAGTACTACGCATAATTAGCAACAGTAGCACTTATTCATTCATCATCAATGCTCAATTAAAACCCAAAAAAAAGCAGTAAAATCCCCAAATTGAAGCTCCATTAACGGCGTCCACACCTTCTCCTTCCTCCACACTTTCTCTCTCCTCAACGCAACTCCCTTTTCAACCCAATAACCACCCTCTTCGTTGGAGGTTGCTTTTTTCGACCACAATTGATGGCCGAAGACAACGCGCCATGATGAACCTCCACCAGCGAACTTAAATCGTGCAATGCATCACCAACCACCGTCCATCGCAAATCGCACTTCGTTATCTTCGTTTTGAAGGGTTTTCGATTCAATCGGAAAATGCATCATTTTCTTCGATTTGGTTGGCTGATTTAAGCAAAATGATCTTTGTTTGTGAATTGTGAGCCCTAAAATCCCAATTTTCTTCGACAATTGTAATGAATGGGTAATGTGTTTGAAGGGGAGGGCTGTCGCACGAACTATTGGGTGTGGACTACCGCACCCAATAGTTTGTGTAATTGCTTATCCAAAGCCCCGGGGACGTTCGTTAGTAAGATCCTTCCTTTCAAATGCTTTGCAAGTTCATAAGTGTTTCAGCTAGCTAGGAGCACTTTTTGCCTTGAAGAATTAATGAATTGTAATAGATAGCGAGTCTCATACATGAACTTTTGAACAGGTTTATCTATTGTGATAGTAATAGATTTATCTATATATGGTGATAGTACTATTAAGTGAACAAACTATTACGAGACATGTCGCCTAAATTTTAAAAAAGGCTTGAAAATTATTTCCTTTGTTTCATAATAATCACAACATTTTGACTGACACACATACCAATGCACAACTTTGACCATTAATATTTGTAATTATATATCAATACTAATATTTTAAAACAGGAAGTTGGAAGAACACTTGTCCTCTTCGTGTTTTTAAAATATTTTTTGTTTTTCCCTTTTTTTACAAAAAATTCAATCAAATAAGGTTTCTATCCTCTTTTTCCTTCCATCCCAATTCCCAAACGATGTATCTGTTCGGTTTAAAAAAAAAAGAAAAAAAAAGGATGTATATGTTCTTATCAGTTTGTAATTCCCAAACGACGCTATTATCCTCTAATTCCTCCATTAAATATTCATAGATGAATTGATTACAAATTGTTCACTGCTACTTTATCAATCATCTTTTTCTTTCCTCACAATTTATCTGATTATATTTTTCAAGGTTAGTTATAATTTTCCTTCCTCTTAATTTCTCATATTTTTTAATCAATTGCTTTTCTGATAATTGTGTTGATTGATGGTGTCAAGTCGATTCTTCAATTTGTTGATTACAATGTTGTTTTTGGCTGTAGGGACATAATAAATGGATTTAATTGATTGAATGTTGATGGAGTTGAGGCGACAATTCTTCAATTAATTGGTAATGAATTTTTTTTTTCTTCCCCTAATTTAGTTTTAGCAATGAATTTAATTTGCATTCCCTCTTTACTACCCTTAATCAAATTTGGGATTGAATACTACTATCTCTCTTGCCTTTTCTCTTTCCTGGTTTGGAGTTTAATCAATTATTTTATTTTTCAAGGAGTTTCATTATTTTGATTTAACTTTTTTTTTTAAAAAAAAAAAAAAAACTTAACAGAAATTTGAGAACATTTTGTCTCAGATGTTTTGTTTTTTCAATTGTTTTTCAATTTCTATATGATTAGTCGATTTGTTAGAAGCTGCATATGTTTTGTGTTTTTTTTTTTTATTTTGTGAACCAATCCGAACCTGCCACGTGTCCGCCACAAGGATCAATCAGCGTCTGCCACTTGTCACTCTATGAGAGGTCCAACATGGACTAATCAGGCCATGCCATGTGGCCCATAACCAGCCAACTTGGAAAACGACCATCAGGCCCGAATCCCGAGGCAAGCCCAATCAGTCCTAGGTTTTCCATTTAACCTAATATTGGGCACGTACTTCGAGGCTATAAAAGCAGATGATTAGCCTCCATTAAACACAGGATTAACTTACCGAGAGAAGCCTAAACACACGTGCATACTAATCGGTAGACCTTACTTAGCATTAATTGCACCCCCTTGAGGCTACCCACCGTAGCCAGATTGATCACTCCTCTCTCCAGAGGAACCAGATCCCCTTTTACTTTTCGTACCATTTACTCCTCAAACACGTTCTAACTTGATCGTCGGAGGCGGAGCCCCCATCCCTGGGGTTTCCGTTGTTTTTAAGGTACAGGCGCACGGATCCAGTCCCAGAATTGTAACTCTCCCGCAGGACATCAAAAAACCCCGAAACAAAAAGGATTGAACATATATGGTTAGTTAAAGTTTATAAGGTTTGGATCTTATTCCAAATTTATTTTCCTTTAGAATTGATGGAAAGTTTTAGTTCATTTGATATCTTCCATAATTTTCTAAGTTAGATGCATGAATAATGTTGCTTGTTCCCTTGATTTTATTCTCTAATTTTTACTTTTTTTTTTTTTTTTTTTGTTAATAAAGAGTAATATTATTATTTGATGGGTTTATTTTTTAAGAAATACATTGATGAATACCACTATTGTAATTATTTTTGTAAGAAATATCATAATGAATTCCTTTGTATAATCCTTTCTTTTGTTGACAAATGAAAATCAGATTTAATTGTATCCATAATATAGTTTCATTTTATTTTGGATCATTAGAAGGTGAGGTAGGCATGGTTATTCTCCGAAATTTAGTAATAGTTTACTTCTCTAAAATTTATATTTGACAAGATGCAGGATGAAAAATTGGTAGGTTGATTTGGCTTACTTCTCTAAGTATTGTTTATTTATTAATTGTGATTTTGTGTGTTTTGCAGGTGAAATTCTTTATTAAAAAACTGAACAATATATTGGATGGTAGCTACATCAATTTTGTGAGAAAAAAATTGTAATAATTTAAGATTTTTTAGATGATTAGTAATGTATAAATGATTGTATATTCCTTTGCATCTTCAATAGTGTTAAATAATGAGTGCTATAATCAAAATTTAATGTATTAGTGTTTAATTATGCTTAATGATGTTTTTGGATGCATAAACAAAAATATAAATTGTTCTTCGCGATCAATAAACATGCATATTTATTATGATATAATACAACTTTTTTTTTGAAAGAAGATATCATACAACTTTTTAATTAAGAATAATGAATTAAATTATAAGTAGTATTTTCTACAATGCAATTTATATAAACATATAATTTGATTTGATTTAAATGTAGTGCAATCTAAGTATATAATACAAAAAATCTTTAATCAAATAATTCAAAAATATTTAACTAGCAAGTTTGATCCGTGCATCGCACGGGCTAAATACTAGTTAGTATTAAAAAAAGGTATAAAAGGTTAATATACTAGTCCATAAGTATTTTACATGACAACATAATGTTTTTTTATATATTGATAAAAGTATAGTCGAGGTAAGTATATAAATACCGAGTAGTGCAAAATTCAAAATATTGCAATTATTCCAGAGTACGAAACGTAGGGAGTAATAGTGTGATACGTAGAAAAAAAAATGTTTATACGATAAAGGCGGCAAATAGAAATACTTTTCGATTTATGGATGCTAGAGTGTATCCGTGCTAACACACGGGATATACATACGATTATATGTAATACGATTATATGTAGTATGTATATCTAGAAAGAAAAAATAGTAGAAGTGGAAGTTATAGAAAAGTTTTTTTTTTTTAGATGTGAAAGTTATTTAAAGTTTATTGTAAAAAAAAGTGCTTAGGTTTTGAGAAGGGGTTGGGAGTGTTGTGGTTGAATGTTGAAAAACAATCTTAAATTATAGGAAATTTTAACTTTTGTTATTACGAAAACAACCCTATTTCACTTTTACTACCCATCTAAATTTTTGTTTTATTTTATTACCGGCCAAAACCGAAAATTATAAGTTTTGCTGGCACTTAACTTATTTTCCATTACTTCCCGTCAAAAAACATTATTTTCCATTACTATTTCGTTTGTGGGACCCACTTATTTAACTCCTTCCACTTTCTTCTTTTTCTCTCTCCACGAACCTCCTCATAGCAGCCCCATCCCAAACTCCCAACCATTCTCCGGCAACACCACCCGCTCTACGGCTACTCCCCACCACGCAATCATCAACACCGATCATTACTACTAATAAGCTAAGAATCTCAGCAATTTGATTAATTGAAGAAATCGTGGCCTCAAATTGAAATAATTGAGCAAAGGGTTATCGATTTGGGCTAAAATTGGAGCTTGCGGTTCTGGATTATGGGATAGCGGCGTTGCTCAGTAGCGCGGCGGCGTGGTGCTTCTCGGTGCAGAGTGGTGCGACGGTGGCTGGTTGATTTGGTGCGATTATTGGTGTTGGGCTGCCGGCTGATTGTTTCTGTTGGTGTGCGGCAGTCCGGTGGTGGTTGTTACCGGCTGCTATGGCCGAACAGGGGTGAGATGGGGCTGCTGTGGTCAGTGTTGTGAGATGGTGATTTGAGGTTTAGTTGGTGGTAGTGGAAGATGCGGCTGGCGATGTTGGCGGCTACTGTTGGTGGGGCGAATCCGCGAATGGTGAGAGTTATGCTGCTATGCGATGACAGAGGTGGTGTGTGGACTGGTGCAAGGTGGAGTAGTTGGTAGGGGAAGCTGCAACGTGATGTTGCTGTTGGTTTTGTGGGGTGGCTGTGTGCAGGGAGCAGGGGAGTTATTGGTGGATTTGGGCGGCTGCTCTATACTTTTTGGTTTTAGGTGGTAGCAAAAGTGATATAGGAATGTTTTGGTGGTAGCAAAATTCAAATTTCCTAAATTATATACTTCGTATAATATTTCCCAATAAAAAAGGGAAAATTTATCAAATAGCCCTACGTGTTTGATATCCTGCCTCCTAAGAAGACGACATACTTGCAGTAACTCATTCATCAATCCTCCGCTCCTTGTTGTGGCGACAATTTTGATCTCCTCTAAGAGATTAATAGGTATGAATTCCCTCTCGTTGTTTTTCATTACTAATTGTTCGGTTTGATTAGAATCTGAAATATATAAATCTTTTGTTTTTTCTTGCCGGTTTGATTCGGAATTTTGAGCTTTAATTAATAAATATTGCATGTCTCGGTTCATTGAGTTTCTTTTATTTCACTTGATTACATCAATTCGATTTGGGCGGTCGTATTTCTGGATTTTAGGGTTTATGTATTTTGGGTTTCTTTTATTTTTTTTGGATTCGTTTTAATTTTATTTCATTATCTGGTTAATGTTTGTCTTCCATATTTTCACTCAATTTCTTAGGGCTATGGTTTCTTGGGGTTAAATTTAGGTTAAGGGGATATTCATAGAGATGTGCAACTGTATAGAATTTTTGATATCTAATTTGTTTATCAATCCCTTGAGAATTGCGATCTGGAAAAAAGCGATTGGTCTGAGCTAAGCTAATGCAATAAACAGTAGGATGTGAACCTGTGAATTGCTTTCTCGCTTACAATATTAAACAGTGAATGAACACTAGAATGCTTTGTGTTAAGGGTGGCTGATAGTTGGAAGAGTCTCTATGTGAGGTGTTATTAGTCTGAGAATGGAAAGACAAGCAGCAAGGCCGTTCTATATCCTTGGAATATGTGGATATCATAGAAAACATGTGCCTTCCTGCGTGTACATGTTACTAAAAGTTACCCAATGTTGTTTATATAGTTTTTTTTGTTAATATTGTATTTGTTTTTTCTTAAATGTCATTTCTCATATCATAAAACGAGTAAAAGTGTAAAGTTTCTTATTTTATGGGTTATTATTGATGCAGATCCGAAGTGCAGTGGTTTAACCCTCTGATACTTAGCCTCTAATGCCCTGGAGATTCTGTGGTTTATTGCATCAGTTTGAGTTTTTTGTTACTGTGTGTTGACAGACAGGGTGTTGCAATATGATGGGCACATTATCAATATTACCACTTCCAGCTCCACCAGAAGATGGGGATCTTGGCCCAACCCCACTTGCTCAGTTGCCTCCTGACGATGAGATGAAAGAAGCAGAAGATCAAAACAAAGCTAGCAACGTGAGTTCAGTGCCAACGCATACAACACCCATTGGAATTATCCACCCCCCACCGGATATTAGAAACATTGTTGATAAGACATCTCAATTCGTGGCAAAGAATGGGCCCGAGTTTGAGAAGAGGATTATTGCCAGTAATGCAGGGAATGTGAAATTTAATTTTCTTAATGCTTCAGATCCTTACCATGCTTATTATCAACATCGGTTGTCGGAGTTCAGAGCACAAAATCAATCTTCAGGTCAACAACCGCTTTCTCAGCCTGGTGATACGATGGCCTCGGAGGCTGAGTCTGGTGTCCTTGCCGATGATGTAGCTGCTGCAGATGAGAAGCCTGATCCTTCTGCGCAATTCAGACCTGTTCGTAAGGTACTTGAGCCTCCAGAAGCTGAACAATATACTGTAAGGCTGCCAGAGGGGATTACAGGGGAGGAATTGGATATTATTAAGCTTACTGCACAATTTGTTGCTCGAAACGGAAAATCCTTTTTGACAGGTCTTACTAGTCGAGAGATGAACAACCCCCAATTCCATTTTTTGAAGCCTACACATAGCATGTTTATGTTTTTCACTGCCCTTGCTGATGCCTATTCTAAGGTTCTGATGCCTCCAAAAGGCTTGACTGAAAAGCTAAGGAAGAGTATTGCTGACCGGACAACAGTCCTTGAGCGGTGTTTGCATAGGCTTGAATGGGAAAATTCGCAGGAGCAAGCTAGGCAGAAAGCTGAAGATGAAATTGAGCAAGAAAGAATTCAAATGGCTATGATTGATTGGCATGATTTTGTTGTGGTTGAATCAATTGACTTTGCAGATGATGAAGATGAGGCACTGCCTATGCCAATGACTCTTGAAGAAGTTATAAGGAGAAGCAAGGTTTCAACGAAGGATGGGGATGAAGAGGAAATTGTTGAGCCAGGAAAGGAGGTAGCGATGGAAATGGATGAGGAAGAGATGCAGCTTCTTCAAGAGGGTATGACAGGTGCTACCCTTGAGGAAAATGGTGAGGAAAAGAAGGATGAGGTTAAGGCTGATATGGATGAAGATGATCCTCCAATGAGAATTGTGAAGAACTGGAAGCGACCTGAAGAGAGAATTGCTGCTGAAAGAGACCCAACAAAGTATGTGGTTTCTCCAATTACCGGTGAACTGATTACCATAAGTGAGATGTCAGAACATATGAGGATTTCTCTAATTGATCCAAAATACAAGGAGCAAAAGGAGAGGATGTTTGCCAAGATTCGAGAGACAACCCTTGCTCATGATGATGAAATTTCCAGAAACATTGTGGGACTTGCTCGTACTCGTCCAGATATATTTGGTACTACAGAAGAAGAAGTATCTAATGCCGTCAAAGCTGAGATAGAGAAGAAAAAGGATGAGCAGCCTAAGCAAGTCATATGGGATGGTCATACAGGGAGCATTGGTCGCACTGCAAATCAGGCCATGTCGCAGAGTATGGGTGGTGAGGATCAAAGTGAGATCAATTACAATGATGGGAGGTCTCTCCCTGGTCCAGCTGCTCCTCCTCCACCAAGACCCAGTGTTCCTATGCTTCGTCCACTTCCTCCCCCAGCTAATTTATCTGTGAACATGCCACGTGTACCAACCAGCAATATTCAGTATTCTACTCCAACCTCTGGTGGGCTTATGGCACCACCCCCACCTCGTCCTATGTACACCTTAAGCCAAATGGGTCCTCCGCCACCTCCTATGCAAATGCCTCCTGGACAGCAGCATATGATGATGAATCGCCCACCAATGCCTCCAGCTGGGTCCATGAACGAACCTGGCATGCCAGTACCTCCTGCACCTGGATCTCAATTTACCCCGCTTGGTGTTCACCGGTCCTTTACACCTGTTCCACAACATGGTATGCCTGCTCCACCAATGCCTCAAGGAATGCCGCCTCCACCCCCACCACCAGAGGAAGCTCCTCCTCCACTTCCTGAGGAACCAGAGCCCAAGAGACAGAAGTTGGATGACTCTGCATTGATTCCGGAAGAGCAGTTCCTTGCTCAACATGCGGTATGCTTTCTTTTTCCCTGCCAAATTCTGTGCTTGAAATTTTCCTTCCTGTCTGTCTGTCTGTCAAATGCTTTGTCACAAAATCTGCAAATTTACTACTGTCTAAAGCTCTTTCTGTCATATTACTATGCTTTCTTAGTAGCTACTTCTCTTATTTTAGTGAGGCTCTACGGCATGTATTTTTATAGCATATTTCTTTAGTTGGTAATACTGACCTGTGATGTCTTGTTTTACAAGGCGTGAATGTTGAAAGGACAGCTAAATATTTAAGCTGTGTGAACAAGACTCATAAGCATTATTGTAACATACTAGTTATATGAACTATTTTATATTCTATATCTCTGAACATGAAAAAACAAAAACAAAAAAAAAAAAAAACTTTAATAGCATATATATAGAGATACTGAAGTCAGCTAAGTGTTTTTCTTCTAATTTAAGTAAAATAAAAGTGCTCTTTTGTTAAAAATCATTAATTTCGGTTTCCACCACATTCCAAAACCTTTTCTGGTCATAATCAAGGGAAGGGTTGCTAAAATTGTTCCCTTTTTTTTATTTTTTTATTTTTTTTTATTTTTATTTTTTACTGTGTGTGTGTGTGTGTGTGTGTGTGTGTGTGTTTGTGCGTGTTTTAAAGGTAATTTTCCTACATCTTTGTTTAATACATAGGTGATACATGGTGACATCAACAATTACAAATAGTATTCCAGTGTGATATTGTGAAACTCTTAAAGCCCAGTGTGATAATGTGAAACTCCTTGAGCTGCTTTATGATTTGGATGGATTTGTGTATTGCTGGGTATTCAATTGTGGCGTATTCTAGGCTTCTGCTAGCTAGTATTCTGACACATAATAAGAATTGTAAAAGAGGGAATAATTTTAGTCTCAAGCATAATGGCGGTGAATGTGTCATTGCTGGTATGTCCACTGTAGGATATAGGCAGTGAGTAGGCTGCCAGTGTCTGGGTCGCTACAAGTGTAGATATGTGTATAATGTGCTTTGTTCTTTTTGTTCTGGGTTAGGTATTGATTATTATATAACTTCATTCTTTATAATTGCAGCACTTAGACTTTCATGCTTTGACAACTCACAATTGAACCATTAATATCCTTACTTTAATTAGTAAATTTTTTAACAAGTTGATATTTGAAATCATGCATCGAAACAAATCCAGTGACATTTTACACTTGACTTTTGGTTTTGTATATTTGAGTAATCTTGTCAAAGTGGGGTATTTTATTTTTTAAAATTACAAGTGTTGCAATTTAAAACAATGTAAACCTGATTACTGCTCATAACTTCATTTTGATGTACCTTTTTCCTTTCCATCATCACCTTTAGATGTATGCAATCTAGACCCGATTATTGCAGGGTGTCTTTGTTCTGCGCAGACATAATCAAGCTGCCACCTTCATTAGTTAAGAAGAAGAGCATATTCTTAGCTAAATCCTTAACCCTACCTGAATTACATGAGATGGAGCTAATAGTTGCTTTTGAATGTTTTTTCTCTTCAGGGACCTGTCAGGATCAACATATCTGTTCCCAATGTTGATGAAGGGAACCTCAAGGGACAAGTTTTGGAAATTGTCATGTCCTTGAATGAAACTGTTGGTAGTCTGAAAGAAAAAGTATCTGGGGAAATTCAACTTCCAGCAAACAAACAGAAATTGAGTGGGAAGGCCGGTTTTCTCAAGGATAATCTCAAACTTGCTTATTACAATATTGGAGATGGAGAGACCTTGACTCTTTCTTTGAGGGAGCGTGGTGGCAGAAAGAGATGAACAAATCACCTAGAGAACCCAACGAAAGGCCCTTGTTGGAGTACTTCCTAAGAATTTTTCTATATAATCCTGTTCGGTCCATGAATATTTCTTTTCAGATGATATCTTGAATTTTTTGTGCCCATGTATCTTAAGTTCAGCCTTGCAACTTCTTTATTGTTGTTACTAATCTGATTCTATTTGCCTTTGCAGCTCATCACTTATGCTCACAAGTAGTCATGTCATGATTCTGATACTAACTTTTCTTCGAGTATAGTTGACCTCAGTAACCGTAATTTGTTGTTTTAGTCTGTAATTGGATATCTAATTATTTTATCTTAGTAGTGCTGATATTTTTGGAGCACTTTTTTTTGGTGGTAGGGAAGAATACTCTTTATTCTGGGCAAGGCTCCTTCTATTATGTTGGCAGATCTCCCAGGTACCTTTCGTGGTGCGTGTTATACTGCTGCGCGGCTTCTTGTCAAGTGAATACTGCTCATAACTTCATTTTGATGTACCTTTTTCCTTTCCATCATCACCTTTAGATGTATGCAATCTAGACCCGATTATTGCAGGGTGTCTTTGTTCTGGGCAGACATAATCAAGCTGCCACCTTCATTAATTAAGAAGCAGAGCATAGTCTGAGCTAAATCCTTAACCCTACCTGAATTACATGAGATGGAGCTAATAGTTGCTTTTGAATGTTTTTTCTCTTCAGGGACTGTCAGGATCAACATATCTGTTCCCAATGTTGATGAAGGGAACCTCAAGGGACAAGTTTTGGAAATCATCATGTCCTTGAATGAAACCGTTGGTAGTCTGAAAGAAAAAGTATCTGGGGAAATTCAACTTCCAGCAAACAAACAGAAATTGAGTGGGAAGGCCGGTTTTCTCAAGGATAATCTCAAACTTGCTTATTACAATATTGGAGATGGAGAGACCTTGACTCTTTCTTTGAGGGAGCGTGGTGGCAGGAAGAGATGAACAAATTACCTAGAGAACCCAACGAAAGGCCCTTGTTGGAGTACTTCCTAAGAATTTTTCTATATAATCCTGTTCGGTCCATGAATATTTCTTTTCAGATGATATCTTGAATTTTTTGTGCCCATGTATCTTAAGTTCAGCCTTGCAACTTCTTTATTGTTGTTACTAATCTGATTCTATTTGCCTTTGCAGCTCATCACTTATGCTCACAAGTAGTCATGTCATGATTCTGATACTAACTTTTCTTTGAGTATAGTTGACCTCAGTAACTGAATTTGTTGTTTTAGTCTGTAATTGGATATCTAATTATTTTATCTTAGTAGTGCTGATATTTTTGGAGCACTTTTTTTTGGTGGTAGGGAAGAATACTCTTTATTCTGGGCAAGGCTCCTTCTATTATGTTGGCAGATCTCCCAGGTACCTTTCGTGGTGCGTGTTATACTGCTGCGCGGCTTCTTGTCAAGTGAATACTGCTCATAACTTCATTTTGATGTACCTTTTTCCTTTCCATCATCACCTTTAGATGTATGCAATCTAGACCCGATTATTGCAAGGTGTCTTTGTTCTGGGCAGACATAATCAAGCTGCCACCTTCATTAATTAAGAAGCAGAGCATAGTCTGAGCTAAATCCTTAACCCTACCTGAATTACATGAGATGGAGCTAATAGTTGCTTTTGAATGTTTTTTCTCTTCAGGGACTGTCAGGATCAACATATCTGTTCCCAATGTTGATGAAGGGAACCTCAAGGGACAAGTTTTGGAAATCATCATGTCCTTGAATGAAACCGTTGGTAGTCTGAAAGAAAAAGTATCTGGGGAAATTCAACTTCCAGCAAACAAACAGAAATTGAGTGGGAAGGCCGGTTTTCTCAAGGATAATCTCAAACTTGCTTATTACAATATTGGAGATGGAGAGACCTTGACTCTTTCTTTGAGGGAGCGTGGTGGCAGGAAGAGATGAACAAATTACCTAGAGAACCCAACGAAAGGCCCTTGTTGGAGTACTTCCTAAGAATTTTTCTATATAATCCTGTTCGGTCCATGAATATTTCTTTTCAGATGATATCTTGAATTTTTTGTGCCCATGTATCTTAAGTTCAGCCTTGCAACTTCTTTATTGTTGTTACTAATCTGATTCTATTTGCCTTTGCAGCTCATCACTTATGCTCACAAGTAGTCATGTCATGATTCTGATACTAACTTTTCTTTGAGTATAGTTGACCTCAGTAACTGAAGTTGTTGTTTTAGTCTGTAATTGGATATCTAATTATTTTATCTTAGTAGTGCTGATATTTTTGGAGCACTTTTTTTTGGTGGTAGGGAAGAATACTCTTTATTCTGGGCAAGGCTCCTTCTATTATGTTGGCAGATCTCCCAGGTACCTTTCGTGGTGCGTGTTATACTGCTGCGCGGCTTCTTGTCAAGTGAATACTGCTCATAACTTCATTTTGATGTACCTTTTTCCTTTCCATCATCACCTTTAGATGTATGCAATCTAGACCCGATTATTGCAGGGTGTCTTTGTTCTGGGCAGACATAATCAAGCTGCCACCTTCATTAATTAAGAAGCAGAGCATAGTCTGAGCTAAATCCTTAACCCTACCTGAATTACATGAGATGGAGCTAATAGTTGCTTTTGAATGTTTTTTCTCTTCAGGGACTGTCAGGATCAACATATCTGTTCCCAATGTTGATGAAGGGAACCTCAAGGGACAAGTTTTGGAAATCATCATGTCCTTGAATGAAACCGTTGGTAGTCTGAAAGAAAAAGTATCTGGGGAAATTCAACTTCCAGCAAACAAACAGAAATTGAGTGGGAAGGCCGGTTTTCTCAAGGATAATCTCAAACTTGCTTATTACAATATTGGAGATGGAGAGACCTTGACTCTTTCTTTGAGGGAGCGTGGTGGCAGGAAGAGATGAACAAATTACCTAGAGAACCCAACGAAAGGCCCTTGTTGGAGTACTTCCTAAGAATTTTTCTATATAATCCTGTTCGGTCCATGAATATTTCTTTTCAGATGATATCTTGAATTTTTTGTGCCCATGTATCTTAAGTTCAGCCTTGCAACTTCTTTATTGTTGTTACTAATCTGATTCTATTTGCCTTTGCAGCTCATCACTTATGCTCACAAGTAGTCATGTCATGATTCTGATACTAACTTTTCTTTGAGTATAGTTGACCTCAGTAACTGAATTTGTTGTTTTAGTCTGTAATTGGATATCTAATTATTTTATCTTAGTAGTGCTGATATTTTTGGAGCACTTTTTTTTGGTGGTAGGGAAGAATACTCTTTATTCTGGGCAAGGCTCCTTCTATTATGTTGGCAGATCTCCCAGGTACCTTTCGTGGTGCGTGTTATACTGCTGCGCGGCTTCTTGTCAAGTGAATACTGCTCATAACTTCATTTTGATGTACCTTTTTCCTTTCCATCATCACCTTTAGATGTATGCAATCTAGACCCGATTATTGCAAGGTGTCTTTGTTCTGGGCAGACATAATCAAGCTGCCACCTTCATTAATTAAGAAGCAGAGCATAGTCTGAGCTAAATCCTTAACCCTACCTGAATTACATGAGATGGAGCTAATAGTTGCTTTTGAATGTTTTTTCTCTTCAGGGACTGTCAGGATCAACATATCTGTTCCCAATGTTGATGAAGGGAACCTCAAGGGACAAGTTTTGGAAATCATCATGTCCTTGAATGAAACCGTTGGTAGTCTGAAAGAAAAAGTATCTGGGGAAATTCAACTTCCAGCAAACAAACAGAAATTGAGTGGGAAGGCCGGTTTTCTCAAGGATAATCTCAAACTTGCTTATTACAATATTGGAGATGGAGAGACCTTGACTCTTTCTTTGAGGGAGCGTGGTGGCAGGAAGAGATGAACAAATTACCTAGAGAACCCAACGAAAGGCCCTTGTTGGAGTACTTCCTAAGAATTTTTCTATATAATCCTGTTCGGTCCATGAATATTTCTTTTCAGATGATATCTTGAATTTTTTGTGCCCATGTATCTTAAGTTCAGCCTTGCAACTTCTTTATTGTTGTTACTAATCTGATTCTATTTGCCTTTGCAGCTCATCACTTATGCTCACAAGTAGTCATGTCATGATTCTGATACTAACTTTTCTTTGAGTATAGTTGACCTCAGTAACTGAATTTGTTGTTTTAGTCTGTAATTGGATATCTAATTATTTTATCTTAGTAGTGCTGATATTTTTGGAGCACTTTTTTTTGGTGGTAGGGAAGAATACTCTTTATTCTGGGCAAGGCTTCTTTTATTCTGATGATGGGTGTTAGGAGAAATATTGGTGATGGTGCCTCGACAGACATATGGCGAGACCCGTGGGTTCCAAAGATGCCTGAGTTTCGAGTAACGTCGAGCCAAAGAAGGATAATCAGTGCCCTATTTATGTGAGACAATTATGGGAAAATAGGGCCTGGGATATAAATGCTCTAAATAATTATTTTTCTGTGGCAGAGATTAGAATGATACGGAGCATCCCTATACCCTTATATGATAGCAAGGATACGTGGATGTGGCATTACTCGAAGGATGGCAGATTTTCGGTGAGGAGTGCTTACAACCTGCTATCTGTTGAGCATATGCGAGAGACTGCCTCCTCGTCAAATGCAGGTGTTCTGTTTGATTGGAACAAGGTATGGAATGTGGATGTTCCGCAAAAAATCAAGCTTTTTGCTTGGAAATGTGTTAGAAATGGGATTGCTTCTCGTGATAATCTTGCGAGAAAAGGTGTAAATACTGATGTGATATGCCCTATGTGTGGCGAGGCTGCTGAGAGTACTCTTCATATGCTGGCTCAATTTGATCAGGTTAGGCTTGTTTGGTACACCTCCCCTCTGAGATTGGTTGTAGCCCACTACCAAGGGGAAAATTTTGGAGAGTGGTGTAGCTCGATATGGAAGACAATTAAAGATTTTATTTGGTGGAGTCTGTTTTGGAATATTGCGTGGGGTGTGTGGCTGCGACGCAACGATTGGATTTTCAACAGAAGGAGGTGGGAGGGGGCTGATGTGATTCGTAAAGCAGTGAACATAGTAGGTGAACTTGAGCAAGCAAAGGAGGTAAACAATATTAACCCACCTGCCACGCAGCTAGAAACTCGGTGGAAGCCTCCAATAGCTGGAATGATAAAAGTGAACGCAGATGTTGCCTTACTCACGCCAAATGTGGTGGGCTTGGGGGGAGTGATGAGGGATCATGTAGGTGATGTCGTGGCTGCTACTTGTTGCCGGATGGAGGGTGGTTTTGATGTGGATATTGCGGAAGCATTGGCCATGAGACACGCCCTTGGCATATCTATGGAAGCAGGTTTCTTACGGCTTTGTTTGGAGACGGATTGCTTGAAGCTCTACAGCCACTTGAAGAAGGGAGAAGTCCCTCCTACTCCTTTTGGTAGAATTGTTAATGATATCCTATATCTTTCTCGTTTGTGTTATTGTGTCTCCTTTTCTTTTGTGAAAAGAGAAGGAAACCAAGTAGCTCATGGTTAAGCAAAAGCTTGTAATCTTTTTTCTGAGTTAAGGGTTTGGTTAGAGGAGTATCCTAGTGATGTAATGGAACCTGTTTTGGCTGATTTAAGCCTTATTGAAGCTTAATAAATGGCTTTTGCTTCCTGTCCAAAAAAAAAAAAAAATGTTGGCAGATCTCCCAGGTACCTTTCGTGGTGCATGTTATACTGCTGCGTGGCTTCTTGTCAAGTGAATATTGCTTTTTCTGGGAGTCTCGACTAACAATTAAAGTGCGTTAGGTCATTTTTTCATTCATGTTAAATGAACAAGAAAACTTATACTCCGTAGAAACCTTTAAAGCTTGCTTGATTAGACGACTGAATGAAATGTACTGGAGTGATTGATGCTTTTATGTTTACCTTTGAATAGTGAAGCTACCTTTCTCAATAGGGTTTGCAGAGTGGCATCTGAAGTCCTTCGCGCTCTTGTTATAATACCAGATGCAGGTAGGAGAGAGGGTTTTGTCACATTTTGTTTAACCATAAATAGAATTAAGTCGTTTAGCAACCCTGAAATTTGGCTTTCTTAGTATGGGCTGGTTTACTGATTGCTCTTATTAGAATGTGAAGGTTGATCTGAGATTGATCGGAATACTCTAGTTTTTTTTAATCTTATTCTAGTTGTTTGATATTAGTTGTTTGATAATATTATAAATTAAAGGTTGGTCCTGGAAAAATTGAATAAAAATAAACGAAAAACAGGACTTGTCTTCCCCTTGATTTTCTGCTATACATGTAATTTTGTATAGCAAATATTCTCTTGTTTTCTTGCTTTATTCAGATGTCTGCTAATTAATTCTTCTCTATCATTCTCGTATGTTTAGAAATGAACAACTGTAAATTAACTATGTTGATGTCAGACTGTTTTTTCCGGTGAAGCATCTGTGATGGTGTTCTTGAGCAATTTATGTGTAATTTGTGATTCTCCCTCCAAAGAGACTATACAAAAGGACTTGACTAGTTTAGGATTGAATCAAATAGTCATGAATATTTTCTTCGCCTTTTATGGGTGCTTTCTTTAGAGAATTCGATTTGAGATTTTGCGAGGAAGTGATCGATTTGGGAAAGTTGATGACTTGATGTTGGTTTATGGTCGCGTGCTTCCTCTATAGAGTTTTAGAATTTGCTGGATTGCCCATGTATGTTGTTGGTCAAATATAAGTAATTTGATGAATTATCTACGGAGTACTACTTTGAAGACTTGAAATGACTTATCTGATACCAAGATATGGATTGTGCACTTTTCATTCAGCGAGGAATGGATTGAGTTTACCGAGTCTTCTTACACTGTGCATTAAGCGATGTTAACCTTATTATAGATTCTTGTACGTGTCGTGCTTTAGCAACAAATGTTGGTAGACTGGTAGTTATTCAATCCGCCCAGAAATTGTAGTCACATAGGAACTTGTTGGGCTCTTCCCTCACCCGGTCACCCCTTCTCCTCTCATTGCTGAAAATAAAGTTCCGATATTCGTAAATTTTACTAGCAAAGAGTTAATCAAGCTTGTCTCCGTACACACGAGTCCCTTCTTATTTCAATGGCCGGCCAAATGACTACTATTGTGAAATGAGAGCACGGCCTGCCTTTGCCCGTTCAAGAGGAATTGATTCTAAGTCCAAGCATCACATGCCAGCTGACGTGGTCACCTATGATGGCTAAGAAATCATGTTATACTTTGTGAATGTTTCACAAAAAAAAAAAAAAGAACGACTTCGTATATATGTAACGGAATGACGCAAGTCACGCAACCATTATTGTTGGCGAGTAGTTCTTGTTGAGTGAAGGGAAGATTAAAGGTTTGTGTAAAGGAATTTCCAACAAAAGGTTAAGAAATACTATTGACAATTAATAGTCTAACAGAGGGAATATGTATAAAGAGTATACTAAGGCGAGTATGTAGATAAGTAAATTGTATAAGCATAGAGTACAATATATATGCAACTTCGTTTCTCAATCACTAGATAGCCCGGTGTCTTAAGAGAAAACATTGAGCAGTGATGTCTAAAGGCTACTTTACGACGACACCGGCTGTTTCAGAGTGGACTATAAGGAGGAAGATGACGCATAAGCGACGGAGATAGGCAGATAGCACAAGTAGAGCAAAAACCAAAAAGTCCCACATTGGGTAAAGATAGAAGGTATTAGCTGGTGAAGTTGTTTATAAGCAGAAACTTGTACAATGATTAAAGTATGATCCTTCAGGCAGATAATGGGATATGATGAGTGGTCATTTTTCGCATTTTATATTGCGAATTGGGTGTCCGCCCCAAGCCTTATTTACGACAATATGGGCACCCCAATTTTATACCATCTGATCCCTATTACTAATAATTTTTTGAAGCAACCAAAATTTTCAAAATTTTTTTGGTATTGTTTTACTTTCTGTTTTTTTTAATATCAGCGCTTGTTTTATTTTTATTTTTTTCTTTTGAAAGACGCTCTTTTTATTTATTTTTAAAACGGATATTATCAGCTAGTTTGACCTTGTTTCCTTAACTTTTACTTAAGGTGAAGAGGTTAAACTCTTGTAATTTGACGAAGTAGTTTACAATCAATATAAAGTGGATGCTGGTGTTTTGGATAATTGGTAAAGACATCAACTTTTCACTCTGTTAATTCCCCTCCATTTTATTTAATTCTCTTGAATTCTACTCAGTTAATGTATACACTACCTCTATTTTACTAAGTTCTACCCATTTATTATTATTCACAATGTCAACCATGTCTAAATGTACATATATATACAAGTATAAGTCTAAAAATTATCAAGTTTGATTTTATAAGATTAATATTGTTATGAATTTTCAATATATTTGGTTGATAGAATTTTAAGATAACATTTTTAGTTGAATGTTAAATACGGTCAAATAATTCTTTGTTTGTAAATAGATATCTATATTATTATTAACTTAAAATTATTTTTATTGAACTTAAATTATTTTCATTGAACTGAAAGTATTTTTATCAAACTAAAATTATTTTTACTAATTAAAACTTATTTTTACCGATATTCTAACATTTTTTTAAAAATAAATTAGATAACGATGCAATTGTATGCGACTAGCCACATCACCTGGCTGATGTGGCTAGCCGCATACAATTGCATCATTAAGGCTGATTAAGTAACCCATATCTATAACACTAATATAATTGAGTAACCACTATAAGTCTATAACACTTACCAAATAACCCCTATAGCACTAAAGAAGTAACTCTTGTATTGGTAACACGGTTTTGCTAACTACGTATAAAAGTTTTTGATCAAATATACTATTATAAATGGATGTTATTTTAAAGAACTTTTTAAAACGAATTTGATGATGGAAATAGAATTGAGTTATAGGATATTTATTAAAAGTTATGATTAATTATATATATATATATATATATATATATATATATATATATATATATATATATATATGAAATATTAGAATTTTATCGATAATAAAACTTTATACAACAATTTTATCTTAAAAAATCTATCCAAAAATTGCTTACTTTGCATCATATGTGTCACAATAATACCTATTTATCTCCCACGTGGCACGGAACTTGGAAAAAACTGAAATGTCAAGTGTCTCTATCTCGTGAGCTGGTTGTGAGACCGACTTTATATATATATATATATATATATATTTGTTTAATTTTTACTAATGTATAATCAAAATATATTAATGGTCAATTTAGTGCATTTGAGACATAGTAAATTGCTAGTAACACTTGGCAAAACGAAGGTAGTAATAATAATAAAACAATAGATGTTGTGTATAAGTAGGATATAGGTGAAAAAAAAATGAATAAATTCGCTGAGTGAAAAAGTAGGATATTAGATACCAAAAAAAAATGATAGAAGTTATTATAAAAGTGATTACGGAGTATAACTTTGAAAAATATACTTTGTAGTTAATACTCCCTCCGTTTAAATACAATCATGCGATATAATATTAGATTTGTTCTTATGTATAGTTTTATATTACATTCGATTTAATTTATTTTAAACTACATAATATCCAAGCAAAATGCTCAGAAGTTTAATTTATTTATAAATGAAGAGATGTATTTTATGATTAATTGTTTAAAATTGCATTACTTAATTTGAAATAAAAATTATGGAGTATTAGTAAAAAAAAATCATTAACATTAACAAAAAAAGTTTATATATATATAGTTTAAAATATTATCGTTTATTAGAATAAGGTACTCATAGCATATAATACACTTTATAATCAAAACTAACTTCATTTTAGTAATAACTCAAATTAATTTATTGGCGAACCCTTACTTTCAAATAATTTCTGAAGTTTATTTGTTAAGAGTGTGTTGAAATGACTTTTGAACTTAACAATTTCCAACAAATGAATATAATAAAGCTTTGTAAATGTGGCAAACAATATTAATCGAAGTTACTCAAAGTACATGCCGGTGATTTTGCTACATAGGGTTGGGGTAAACTTGTCAGACGAGGTAAAGTGAAGGGAACAGTGTTCACGAAGAGACTTTAATGGAGAAAAATCAAAAGATATTCAAAGTCTTCAATGGAGAAACGAAGAAGCTTCAATGAAATATGCAATCGGCTTCAATGGAGGAGGCCAAAATTCATACCCTTTGGGATTAACTATGCTATTTTCCCTCATTTTTTTAGGGTAATCATTTTCGCTGCAAGAAAGACGACGGTGAAAATGGCGGTGCACGAGAGAAGAAAGCTCAAGTTGCTTCAATGGTGTACCGAGAGTTAAAATTGAAATTGGTGTGAAGAGGAGGGAGAAAGAAGTGAAAAATGGAGGTGGAGGAGGGTCGTGGTTTTGAATGGGAAGAAGATGGAGGTGGAGCTACGTCAACAAGATGATAACAAACAACTGTTATTACACATATCAAACAAATATTACAGAAATGCCATTTGAGTAACACAAATTGTTACGAGTATTCAAAATGAGTAATCTGGACAGCACAAGTTGATACTATAATGAGCAAAAAAGGCAGGGGAGGAAGTTCTCCTACTCCAATCAAGTTGGGGCCTGTAGGAGCTGCT